GAAGTTTTGCTCTTGTTGCTCAAACTGGAGTGCAGTGGTGCAATCTCAGCTCACTGCAACCTCCATCTCCCAAGTTTAAACATTTCTCCTGCCTCAGCCTCCCAAGTAGCTGGGATTATAGCGATGGGCCACTATGCCTGGCTACTATTTTTTTTTTTTTAGACAGAGTTTCACTCTTGTTGCCCAGGCTGGAGTGTAATGGCGTGATCTTGACTCACCACAACCTCCTCCTCCCAGGTTCAAGCTATTCTCCTGCCTCAGTCTCCCAAGTAGCTGGGATTACAGGCATGCGCCACCACGCCTGGCTAATTTTTTACTTTTTAGTAGAGACAGGTTTTCTCTGTGTTGGTCAGGTTGGTTGGAACTCCCAACCTCAGGTGATCTGCCCACTTCAGCCACCCAAAGTGCTGGGATTACAGACGTGAGCCACCGTGCCCAGCCAGTTTTTGTATTTTTAGTGGAGATGGGGTTTTGCCATGTTGGCCAGCCTTTCCTGAACTCATGACCTCAGGTGATCTGCCCGTCTCGCCTCCCAAAGTGCTGCAATTACAGGCATGAGCCACTGTGCCCAGCCAACAATAATTTCTGAAATTCTAAACTAAGCTCACGCCTATAATCCCAGTACTTTTGGAGGCCGAGGTCGGCAGATCACTTGAGGTCAGGAGTTTGTAACCAGCCTGACCAACATGGAGAAACCCCGTCTGTACTAAAATTACAAAAATTAGCTGAGCATGGTGACACATGCCAGTAATCCCAGCTACGTGGGAGCCTGAGGTAGGAGAATGACTTGAACCCTGGAGGCAAAGGTTGCAGTGAGCGGAGATCGCACCATTGTACTCCAGCCTGGGCAACAAGAGCGAAACTCCATATCAAAAAAAAAAAAAGGAGTTAAGCAAGGCTGGGTGCAGTGGCTCATGCCTATAATCCCATAACTTTGGGAGGGGATCACCTGAGGTCAGGAGTTTAAGACCAGCTTGGCCAATATGGTGAAACCCTTCTCTACTAAAAATATAAAAATTAGCCAGGCCTGGTGGTGGGTGCCTGTAATCCCAGCTACTCGGAAGGCTCAGGCAGGAGAATCGCTTGAACCAGGCAGCAACGGTTGCAGTGAGCCAAGGTCATGCCAGTGCACTCCAGCCTGGGCAATAGAGCCAGACTTTGTCTCAAAAAAAGAAATAGCATGCAGGTTAGCTATTAAAAATCAATTTATTTGTGATATCTATTGTTCTATTTTGTTTTTGTTCTTGTTTTTATTTTTAGTCAGGGTTTCATTGTGTCACCCAGGCTGGAGTGCAGTGGCGTGATCTCACCAAGCTCAACCTCCTGTGGTCAAGTGATCCTCCCATCTCATCCCTCTGAGTAGCCGGGACTACAGGCTCATGCCACCATACCTGGCTATTTTTTTTTGAGGGGGATTTTTTTATAGAGATGGTGTTTTACCATGTTACCCGGGCTAATCTTGAACTCCTGAGCTCAAACAATTTGCCTGCCTTGGCCTCCCTAAGTGCTGGGATTACAGGTGTGTGCCATCACACCTGGCTTTTTCTTCTTTTTAAAATGTGTCTACAACCATATATTTAAGTGTGCCTTATACCACCGTTTTTATAGCTATGCAGAGCACAGGTAGTAATAATTGAAATTCACAGGTAATCATAATTTTAGGTCTTAGTTTTGCTCTTCTACCCCAGTGTAGTCTTCAATCCAGAATTGGTGAATAATTTTGAATATCCTGCCTTTACCCTTAAAAAGATTCAAGAAGTAGTCCTTTGGATTGTGTTCCTATAGGCATGTTCACCAGATTGATGCTGTACTGTTGTCTCACCCCGATCCTCTCCACCTTGGTGCCCTCCCGTATGCTGTTGGAAAGTTGGGTCTGAACTGTGCTATCTATGCAACCATTCCTGTTTATAAAATGGGACAGATGTTCATGTATGATCTTTATCAGGTAATTTAAGCAGTTTGAAAAATTTGCTAGCACTCCTTCAGTGGTTATTTTTCACCTTTATTTGTTTTATTCTTTTAGTCTCGACACAATACAGAAGATTTTACGCTCTTTACGTTAGACGATGTGGATGCAGCCTTTGATAAAATACAGCAGCTAAAATTCTCTCAAATTGTAAATTTGAAAGGTAAAAAGAATTTCCAGTAGTAAGTTGTTAGACGAATGGGGTTTAACTTGCTGGAAAATACTGACGAGGATTTGGAGTGAAAATTATAGGCATTATGGTCTGAAGAATAAAGAAGTTGGCACATTCTGCCTTGATACAGAACTCTTAATTTCCATTTGAATTTTAAAAATTTCAGAATAAATGCTAACAAAATGTTAATAGCTCAGGCCTTTTCATATTTAACTTAAGACTCATTTAGTGTTTACTGTGTATAATAAACAAAAGTTAATGTGGCCATTTCCTCCTCCTCAGAGCTTACAGTTAGGTTGAGGAGACAGAGTAGCTGAGATGGCTAAATGTAGTGACTGGGATAAATGAAGTGCTATGGCAGCAGAGTAGAAAATGACTGAATTCTAGCATTGGACATTAAGAGTTTATTATTGAACTAACCTTTCTTTAGGGTTATAAAAGAAATCTGAGTATTATTATCTTGTTGACATAGGTAAAGGACATGGCCTGTCTATCACACCTCTGCCAGCCGGTCATATGATAGGTGGAACAATATGGAAAATAGTCAAAGATGGAGAAGAAGAAATTGTTTATGCAGTTGACTTTAACCACAAGAGGGAGATGTAGGTATATCAAGGCGAAAGCTAAAGGAAATGCAATTGGTGTTATTTTTTTCTTTGGAGGGAAAATCAGAAACACAGTTTTGTTTTGTTTTTAATCAGAAATCTAGAGCAATTTAAAAACATCAAATAGGGGATGTTTTCAAAATAAATTATTTGCATAGTAGGGGAAAAGTTTGGTATAAGACATAAGAGATTTTAAAAATTTAAGCATACACTCTACAAAACAGATATCTCCCTGGAGATGTTGCAAAGGAGATGAATTTTTACGTATTAAATTACATGTTCTTGACCTGCTGTTTAACAAAACTTTGTGGATGGGGTTGTTCTTTTGTTTTGTAACGTGATATGGGTTGACTCTGTGTCCCCACCCAAATCTCATCTTGTAGCTCCCACAATTCCCATTTGTTGTGGGAGGGACACAGTTGGAGATGACTGAATTATGGGGACAGGTCTTTCCCATGCTGTTCTCATGATAGTGAATCGGTTTCACGAGATCTGATGGTTTTAACAACAAGAGTTGCCCTGCATGTAATGTAACTACCATCTAACATAACTGCCCTGTATATTCAAAGTCAGTTCCTTTGAGAGAGAACACAATGCTAGTTACTATTTTATATAGTTTATTTGGTACTCAGAGCATTACTATAAAATATTTTGGTGTTTAGTCTCTTACAGGCTTATTTTGTTTTATCTGTACATTAAGTTCCTAGGTATTTTGTGTTACATTACAGTAGCCTGAGGATCTGAAATATTTAAGAGAAACAGACTGAATTTTAGACACTTATAACTGTAGATTAATGAGAGATGGCTATGTGAAAAAATGGTATTGAATTCAACCATTTTGGAAAAAAATCAATTTGTGTCTTTATATAACAAAATAAATTTCAGATGGATTAGAACTAAATAGAGACGAAGTAATATTGGTGAGTCTGAGCTCTGATTTGGAAAAGACTTTGTAAGCATAGAGATAATGGACGAAGTTATGAAAGAAAAGTTTGATAGGTTTGATGACATACAGGTTCAAATATCTGAAACAACAAATTAAAAAAAAAATCAAACTAGGAAACAAGTTGCCCCAAAATTTATAACGTAGATATAAGATCAGGTATTAATTGATTAATGGCTGGGTACGGTGGCTTACGCCTGTAATCCTAGCCCTTTGGGAGGCTGAGGTGGGTGGATCATGAGGTCAGGAGTTTGAGACCAATCTGACCAACATAGTGAAACCCTGTCTCTACTAAAAATACAAAAAATTAGCTGAGTGTGGTGGTGTGCATCTGTAATCCCAGCTACTCGGGAGGCTGAGGCAGGAGAATTGCATGAACCTGGGAGGCGGAGGTTACAGTGAGTCAAGATTGCGTCATTGCACTCTAGCCTGGGTG